AAGCCGACAGAAAGAGTTGATGATGATGAAATGGAACCAGTATAGATATTAAATCAGAGCAGGAGAAAGACCAAGATATGAAGCCAATAATTGATTTTCTAAAAGCAAGTGTTTTGCGCCCTACTGAGGAGAAGGTGTTTAGTCTAAGCCCTGTGACAAAGAACTATTGGGCACAGTGGGACCAGTTGAAGCTTGAAGATGGTATTTTGGTCCAGAGATGGGAACTGCAGATGGGAAAGTGACGACCACGGGAAGTTGTGCTGTGTCAATTCCATGATAGTTTAACAGGAGAATATCTTGGAGTTAAGAAGACATTGAGTCACCTACGACAAAGATTTTACTGGATAGGTATGAGGCAAGATGTGGAAGAATGGCGCAGGACCTGCACTACATGTTGTGCTAAAAGGGGACCCAAGCATAAGAAAGGTGCTCCAATGAAGTTATATAAAGTTAGTGCACCAATGGAAAGAGTAGCTGCTGACATTGCTGGTCCTTTACCCCAAACTCGTGCTGGAAACAGGTACATTTGTGTGGTGATGGATTATTTCACTAAGTGGCCTGAGGCATATCCAATACCAAATCAGGTAGTTACAACTGTAATTTCTGCTATTAGTGATTTCTTCTTCAGATTTGGTATGCCATACGAACTGCATTCGGATCAAGGCCGTCACTTTGAATCAGCTATGTTCTAAGAATGCTGCAAGTTGTTTGGCATCCGAAAGTCCAGGACAACGCCACTTCACCCACAGTCTGATGGGATGGTGGAAAAGTACAACTGGACACTGGGACAGGAATCGGCAAAGTTTTGTAATAGCCGTCAAGATGACTGGGATGTCTTACTCCCTCCACTGTTGATGGCCTATAGAACAGCAGAGCATGAAGCCACTGGATACACTCCAGCAAAGTTGATGTTTGGTCAGGAACTTCGGTTGCCAGTGGATCTGATAACAGGACGCCCACCTTACAAAGAGTTGCCAGGAAATTCGTCAGAGTTCGTGAAAGTGTTATCGGAAATGATGAATGATATTCACCATCAAGTGCATTCAAACTTGAAAATGTATGCTGATTCCATAAAACTATGTTATGATAAGTGATCTACTGAGGTCAGTTTCGTACCAGGAGACAAGGTGTGGTTGTATAATCCCAGGAAGACCAAAGGGAAGTCTTCTAAGTTGTCTTCACCATGGGAAGGCTCATATGACATAGTGGATCGTCTCTCAGACCTGACTTTTCAAATAAAATGTGGTCGGTGAGGTAAGCCAAAGGTGGTGCATGCCAACAGGCTTTAGCATTATCATG